CTCTCTCTCTCTCTCTCTCTCTCTCTCTCTCTCTCTCTCTCTCTCTCTCTCTCTCGTGTATATGTAGGTGTACATATATGTATATATAACTTAGAAAAATGGGTTCTAAGTTTTCTATTATAAGGGAGGTCTCCTTTCCAAATATCTAACTAGTTCACTCCCACCAGCTGTGGGAAATTGCAAGTTGAGATCTCTTCTCATCTTTCTTTTATTTCTCTTTTCCTGTCAAATATGAGAGTAGTGTGAAGGATAGCAACTTCCCTGTCTTTTTATATCATCATCCTCCATTCATGTGGGAAAATTCTTTCTAGGTAGGCAGATAAGCCTCAGTTTCATGCATCATCACACAAAGAATAGACAAGTGATTGCTGACAGAGCTTCCTTATGATTTTCCATAATATCAGATACTTTTAGGGAATGCAATATATAGCCAACCAGGCATTTGCGGTTCATATCCATAAACCAATGAAACACAGCACATTTACCAATGAGGCATTTTACCTGATGCAATGTAAAGAAAAATTTACACACTAAGGCTATTCTTTCCAAATGATTATCAACTCTCAGATAGCTCAGTCTTGGTTGCATAATTTAAATCTCATCCCAAAGTCTAACTAAAGAAAATAGACTCATAATTCCACTCTTCCCCAACTTTTTCTGGTTAGACAAAACAAAACAAAACAACCAATATGAAAACCAAGACAAAAAAAAAACAAAATAAGAAGTAGTTTATCACTTCAACAGTACACCCATGAAGAAGGATCAATGACTCTATGTAAGTCTATGTTAGTGAACCAATAAGCTTATCTGGGATTACTTACAATATCCTGAATGACAGGTTACTTACTTTATCCTTTATAATTCAAAGATAAATAGCTATGTTGCTGAAGGTTTCATTCCAGCATGGGTGATGAGATATCCAAGTCACTTTTTACAGCTCTCTGATCACCACAGGTAAAAGTGGTTTCAATTTGATTAAAGTAATGGCAATGCCAGCTTTTGTAAACAGTATTGTCAGAAGCTCCATCAGCAAAAGCAGAGGATGTAGGATGAAAACATTGGTAAGAACATATATAACATGTGACCCAAGAGTTTTGAACTTCCTGAAAAACCTGGCTTGGGAAGTAATGATTGATTAGCTTTAGCAACTTCCCTGTCTTCCACTTGTTCTCCTCACACTCAAACCTACTTACCATATATGAGATGTTGCTGAACACAGTAAGTCACGCAGGAGACTATCAGCATAAATCCTATTGTAGTCAGAATCGTTATCCAAACACGTTTGCATGAAAACAATTCACCTGAAACAGTGAGTCATAAATCTTACTACTGAGAAAACTTGGCTTGGACATACCTAGATAGGAATGGTAATTCGTTTGAAGCTTGTTATAATTTAAGAGCCTACCATTCTAGAATATCAGGTCTAGGCAAGTATGGAGAAGCAGTTTCAATGGGGAGAATAAGGAGCAGGGCATGAGCAGAGAGAAAATAAAACAGGTAAGATTTATAGTGATGCTTATACAAAAGTACGTGGAGGTCATATCCCTCGTTTTTCCCATCTATCCTGACTTGCAAGCTTCCTGAGTGGAAAGGAAGAGGCTTTTCGACTCTTTTGAGGTTATCAAGACCTAAATCTTCTCTAATGCTCAGATGTAGGCTTCCAAGTGTTATTATAAAGTCAGTCTCATTCAGTGCTGTAGTACTCATGTCTTAAGTATCACCATATGTGTACTGTCTAAATTTTTTTCTTTTTCTTTTTTGTTTTGTTATTAAATTAATTTTTATTGGATATTTTATTTGCATTTCAGATGTTATCCCCTTTCTCCATTCCCCCCCAGAAACCTCCTATCCCACCCCCCACTCCTGCTTCTATGAGGATGTGCCCTTACCCACCCAACCACTCCCACCACACCACCCTTGAATTCCCCCACACTGGGGCATCCAGCCCTCACAGGACCAAGGACCTCCTCTCTCACTTATATCCTTCAAGGCCATCCTCCCCTACATATACAGCTGGAGCCATGGGTCCCTCCCTATGTTCTTCCAGGCTGGTGTTTTAGACTCTGGGTGCTCAGGTTGGTTGGTATTGTTGCTCTCCCCATGGGGCTGCAAACCACTCAGCTCTTTCAGTCTTCTCTCTAACTCCTCCATTGGGAACCCCATGATCAGTTTAATGGTTATCTGTGAGCACCTGCCTCTGTATATTACAGGCTCTGGCAGACCTCTAAGGAGATAGCTATAGCAAGCACCTGTCAGCATGCATTTCCTGGCATCCACAACAGCGTCTGAATTTAATGTGCTCATCGAATCTGATGATACAAATACTGAATATATCTAGATACTAAGGTTTGTGTAAGTTTTCCTTTTATGATATTCATATGAATTTTCATATCTTTCTTCCAAGATAAAAAAATTTTACACTTTCTAAAAGAAGTCATTATGTTTATCAGGAGGTTGTTTTGAGGACTACCAAGAATTCTTCTACATCATTTTGAATATGTGTTTGTTGTGGAATAAACCTGTATTTAGCAGTTACGTTCACACATATAGTTCACAGGAATCTGTACCTTTCCCAGATAAACTCTGAGGCCTGCTAGCCAGTGAGCTCGAACTGGAATTTAGATAGTTGGCCAGCCAGCCAGTCAGTAATGAATTCCTACGTGATTAAATTTGATCATGATCTTTTCTTTGTCATACTACTTGATTCCTCATTATGTTCAGTGAATGGAACATATGCCTAAATGTTTCCTAAAACTACAATCTTTAGCATTTGTGATAATTACAGTTATTTTAAACATATCCTTTAGAGCCCATAAATATTTAATAAAAATATTATATCATAAAATGTATTTTTACTCAATGAGATTGTAAATAATTTAGCAAATACTTCATTTTTTTCTTTTCTCATTTATATATAAATATATGTATGCAATGGAATACACACACATACACACACACACAACATATACATGCAAACATATATCTTTTTACCAAATCTGTGGCTTTAGGTATTTCTTTAAGTCTCTTCTAGAAAGTAGATGGCTAAGTTCATGGATACATACCAATACTGATTCATACTTACAACACATCCTTTTGGTTTTATTTAATTCCTTTAAAGTATCAACTTTTGTTTCTTTAATTACATTGAGGCATGCAGTATTTGAAGAAGTTGGATATGTTAGCATTAAAGTCACTGAGGATTTATATTTAGGAAAGGATAGAGATATAAAAGCATAGCATAATATTACATTTGCATAATAGGTAAAATATAAAGTACTAATAAAAAGGAAGCAGAGTTAAAAGGGTAAGGAGACAGATATTCCCAGGTGCATGGGTAGAGGTGCAATATCCACCTCAGGCTGTCAAGGTAATACTTGTTAAGAAGTGAGATTTGAATATAGAATCAAAAGAGATAAGGAAAGTTAATTGAACTTACAATATGCTAGAAAAAAGACAGCTAGTGGAAAAATCAGAAGGCAGAGGGTATTACATGGATGTCTGAGTACATGTGATAGAGAAGGAGAACATGAGGAGGTGAAACCATGAAGGTAACAGCAATACAGATAACAAAAAGGGAAGATGTTTAATTATATCTAAACAGGGAGCAATTTCAGGATATTTAACACAGATGATATTTTCAGTAAGTCATTCTATCTTTATGTTCAGAATATACCATCATTAAGGAGGTTAGAAATGAGAGTTGTGGTGGTATTTCTAAATCATAATTTAGTCATAGCCATAATTCAGACTTATATAGCAATTAAAAGATGGCAAAAAAGTGATGAGGAAGGAGAATCCAGTTATTAACCTGATGATATTGTTTCTCTGGCTCCTTCCTTCTAAATTGCTGGATTCCTTAATTTCCATGATTGCAGGTCTATGCCACACATAGAGTGACCTCAGACCCTAATATACAGGGAAATGCTTGGTATAAAGAAGATTCAGTGTGCTGTGCAAAACCTCTCAACTCTAGCTTTTGTTTATTCACGTCTATATAGTATTAAGGCCTATATTTTCACTTGGAGAACATCTTTATACATGTTCTATCAGTATGATCAGCATGAAACTAAATTTTTTGTTTCTACTTTTATCATCAGGTTTCATACCTATTTTTCCTTTTGGAGTATGTTGTAAAATTATATTTTACTTTCCTGATGTAATTGTCATCTTGGAGGCTTACTCTTGAATAACCTCACTTTTTCTAGTTTGTTTGTTTGTTTGTTTGTTTGTTTTAATTCTGGCTGGTGGGTTTAATTCAGCTATTCTGGCTCAAAACTCCTCTCCAAGCTGTTTGATTCAGTTTCTCACTGAATTGCTCTGTTTTTGAAAAACTGCCTCTGAATTCCATGAACTGAACTTCACTGATTGCAGATACTGAATGATACTGAATGGAACTGCATGAACTCAGTAGAACTTAATCTCTTCCTATGTGCTGCTCCTTAAGTCACCTCTCTTTAATGTCTCTTCTTGTGAGAGTTGGGAATCTGCTACCTCTGGCTCATACTCTCAAATCGTTCTCTTATGTATCACTTTGTTCACCCATGAATTATCCATCTCTTTAAAACATGGCTACTTTCTTTCTACAAATTAACTTTACCTCCATTGCTTGAGATTGTGCTAAGGGTATGTCTATATTCCAGTCAGAGAAATTAAAAGTGAGTCATTTCAGTCAAATCATACATATTTAGAACATCTTTGGATGTTAACTGTTCCCAAAGCAGCCATATTACTAGATTAAAATTCCTCTACAATTTGTGACCAAATCTAAGTCGTTGATACCACCAATAGTGTCTGGGAACTTTATTCATACATCTGTCTTGGAAATCCAGTAACAACAAGATTTTGTATATGTTTTAAATGTAGGCTTACCATTATTTCTCTGTATATGTGAATATGATAATAAATGGAAGTCAAGTGTGACTTTAATGGTTTGGTTATGAGAAACTGATAATATGAAATTCTACCACAAAGCATAAGCATTAAGCTAGCTTGAGATTAGCCACAAGTTATTGATATGCTTATTTTATGATAATTATTAGACTTTTGGATTGCCTTTTGAGTTTTCAGATAAGAACAGAAGAGAAAGGAGTTATAACTTGAACAAACCTTAGAATTCTGCTAAGACTTAAAGCCATGAGCTAAAAAGGAAATCAGAAGAGAGTAAGATCTCAAAAATTTTGCCTTGTAACGCTTAAAGTCAGTGTACCAGTTAGTTTTGTTGACTTGACACAAACAAGAGTTATATAGGAAAAAGAAATTTGAACTGAGGAGTTGCCCTCATCAGATTGGCCTTTGACCATGTATGGAGAACATTTTCTTGATTTAAGATTGTTGTGGTAGGGTCTAGGCACTGGGAGTATGTGGATGTCATCCTTGGGCAGGCGATCCTGAGTTATTTCAGAAGGAAAACTGAGAAATCCCTGGAGAGAAAGCCAGTGAGCAGTGTTCTTCTAAGGTCTCTACTTTAGTTTCTGCCTCCAAGTTTTACTTTGAGCTCCTATCTTGGCCTCCCTTGGTGATGAACTATGATATAACAGTATAAGCCAAGTAGACTCTTCTATCCCAACTTGATATGATCATGATGCTTTATCACAACAGAAATGCAAAAATTATAATAGTCAAGGATATAGAGTCGGAAAATAAATACACCAAAGAAAGTAGGAGACAACAAACTAAGTGGGGAGTAAGATCTAGAAAAAAATCTTGTCTTTAGAAATCAAGTCAAGGAAGAATCTAATAAGAAGCACATATGACAATGACTGTTACTGATACTGTTACACACATTTTACCTGATAGGACAATACTTATGCTTTCTTCTTGGTGAGTTAGAAGGTTTTGAAGATAGCAAGTGACATTTCTGTGGAAGCTGGCTTCAATAAGAAGGGTGATTGTCATGTTGAACAATTTGGTTTCATCCTGTGAATGGGCTTTTGATGTAGCTGGAATGACCTTTCCCTTGCTGTCTCTCCATTCTATATGAGGCTGTGGGAACCAACCTCCTGAATGACACTCCAACATCACACCTTTAATATTAGGCGGATGCATGAGAATCTGTATGTCTGAGCTTGTAGCTGATTGAAACAAAGGATAACAATATTATTAGGTATAAGTGTAAGAGTAAACAACAGAATCATAAAAGCCCTTCTCAGGTTTAATCATAGTTTCAAAAGACAAATTAATAATCAAAAGTCTACAGGATCCAGGTTGCCATAAGAAATGCACAAAAATATCTTGAGCCAGGTGGAAATGATAATACTGTCAGCATCATGTCTGAAATATATATATTACATTATATATTACATATTATATAATATATATTATATATAATAAATATATATATTACATATTATATAATAAATTTTGTCATTGTCACTAGCTACTTTTCAGCCATGATAAGTAGATTATAAATATGAATTTTATTTTCAACACTACTGAGGAACATTAGCTTAGGTTGACACTTTGTATATTTCAATAGTATAAATTTTCATAAAATATGTATCATGTTAAAAAGATAATGTACTAATAGCATGAAAAGTACATATTAATTTAGAGAAAAATGATCATTGAGAGAAACCTTTCAGGATCATATTAAAGCTTGGATAATATATATGCAAAGAAATAATGCATGAAGATTTCAAATACTGTACCAAAATGTATCTATTAAAATGTCCTTGGAATGGCAAAAGCATTTTATATCTGTGCCACCATAGTAGGTGTTTGCTCCATAAGACTGCTAAAGATGTCTACAAGCTATATTGATTAGCTTGGCTATAGACTACAGAGTTGAGTATGATAAAACATCTAGAAAAATATTAATCATCTTTGTCTAGAGTCCTATACATATGTACATAAATTTATGGATTTTTTCTATCTTCCTTTAAACTCACTACTTTCCTTCCACATATTTTTATTTAGAATAATTCAGAGTAAAATAGTATAAAGGCCATACAGTTCTCTATAGGTCACATTGAGTACTATATCTGTGTATAGTAATGTTTGTACTTAAAATCCTTTTAAAAAGATTAAGGAAAATTAATTTGTCACTAAATAGTCAGTGAATTGATTTGGAGATAAATGGAAATAAATATTATCCAAAAAGAATGTTTTCCTTTCTTTAATTAAAACTTTTTCACACAATGCATTTGATTGCTTACCCCTCCACATCTCCTACCAGATCATTTTGACCTCCCTACACACCCAATTTTATAGTAAAGAGCACATTATTAAAATTCTGTTCATTAGAAAAATCACTAAAGGGTTGTCAGAATTATTTGAAAACAATAAAAAATATCCTTAAATGTATCTAAACCTTAAATGTATCTGATGATGTCTTGGAAATCTAACATCACATGTTGACATAACAGGAAAATATTGATGGGACCAATTTCTGCACTTTAGTATTTTTTAAATTAATTAATTAATTTTAACTCCAAATTTTATTCTTCTCTCTGTCCACCCTTCAACTGTTCCACATCCCATACCTCCTCCCTGGACCCCTGTCTCCACGAGGATGTCTCCACCCTCCACCACTACCCCACTGAACCTATAAACTCACTAGAGCCTCCAGTCTCTTAACGGTTAAGTACATCTTCTCTGACTAAACCCAGATCCAGGAGTCCTCTGCTGTATATGTGTTGGGGGCCTCATATCAGCTGGTGTATGGTGCCTGGTTGGTGGTCCAGTGTTTCAGAGATCGCAGTGATCTGGGTTAATTGAGACTGCTAGTCCTCCTACATGGTCACCTTCTAATTTTGATCTTTCAAAACATCCAGTTTAGAAACTAAATTCATAGAATTCAGCTTGCTAATTGAAATGTTCAATAAGAGTTAAACACTAAGAATTTTCAAAGTGCTCAAGCCTAGATAAGCTTTGGATTCACAGCAATCTGAGAGGAATATATGCCTACCTGTGAACTTGACCTCTGTGATGTGCTCTTCATAGAACTCTCCAACTTTGAAGACACAGTGGTATGACCCATCATCATCAGCTGTCAGTTTAAAAATCCTGAGGGTCACTTTCCCCTCTTCAATGGCATCTTTCAGGAGTTCAGTTCGCTCCACATACTTGGAGATAGTTTCTCCATGCAGATCTTTACCATTCCTGTACAGATACACAGGCTCTGTATAGCGATTCCGGAACCAACGAATCTCCATATGCTGTGCTTCTTGTGGTGGAAACAACTGACAACTCAGTTCAACATTTCCACCCAATGGTGCCAAGACTGGCTTCTGTAAGCCAGTCACTATGAATTGTTCTGTAAAGGATTACAATAATCAAAAGAAAAGAGCGTGAATTAGTAAACATGTTCACATCATTTGTAAAATCATTCTATTTATCTCACTTCTTTTTTCCCTTCCCTTCTCAAATATCTACATGTATTTCACTCAGATTACTTTCTTTATTCTGAAGGCATTTTAGTTACTAATTAATTAATTGGCAGAAGCATAAAATATTACTAGAAATGGTGAGAGAAAAATTTTAAGGAACCATTGGAAGTACTGAGCTACTTCAAGGCAGAATGGATTTAACATAAATCAAGGCAATGGGCAGACAGAGTCAGAGAAAATGTCCCTATGAGTAGGCAATGTCATGTAGTGAGGGGTTTTGATGAATAGAGGCTTTAGGGACAGTAGAGAATCATCAGCCATGGATCTTGTGATACATGCACAATGTTTTTAAATAAGAATGTGGCAGGTACTGCCGCCCCTTTGTGTTAAATCTCTACTCTTTATGTGATACAGATAAATGGGCTGGTCTTGTGTGCTCAATAACATGCATGGGTTTTATGATATATTCTTGATATGACCATGTACTCAGATGTTCCTTATCTACCATATAGGTATTATTTTCTTTTCATGTATGATTAAGAAGCAGACACTGGACATGGAGTGAATATAGGTAAACATCAGGAAAGAGGTAGAGGTGGCCATGTGGTAGGCCATAAAGCCAGGATTAGTTGACTTAGAGTAGCTGAGAATCTGTCTAGCTAAACATCAATGCTATAATAAATATTAATAAATCTGTCTCTTTATTTAACTGATGGCAGGTCCAGAAAGGCTTGCTATATTTGGTACACCATTGTAGGAAAGAAATCCAAATTTAGAACATGAGATTTAAGATTAGGGCAAAAGCTCAGGACATGGGAGCCAGATGCTATTCCTTAGCAACCATACCTCATTCTGTGAGCAGCTAAGACCATAACTTCAGAGAAGCTGAGAGCAGGCTTTGCTGGGTTGCTAATCCAACATAGCAGCACATGCTCTGGGACAAGTGATGGTGGCACACTGCAATGTACAATAAGATTCAGCCTAATAAAAGCCTGTTGCTATGCAGGCCCAGCATCTTCCCAGAGTGGGTGAGTGACAGAAACTTTGGAATGGTTGGGGTTCCATTAGCCACACAAGTAAATGGTACCTGTGGGTGAGTGGGGCTTGTGAGGATCTCCACAGCAGGCAGGCCCTTGCTGCTCATGGCATACAGAAGTACAGCCCCAGTAGCCAGATAGAGGATGTGGCTCTTAGACACATAGGAAGCTGAGAAGTTGAAGTCCAGAGAACAAACAAGCTGAACTGGTAATGTATGCTTATGGGTAAGCTGAGCTGGTAATGTATGCTTATGGGCAATTCTGCAGTAATTAAAGTTTAGAGAAACTCTGGTAGAGACAGAAATATTAATTTTGAAAATAATAAAGTGAGGTCTCTGAAGGACGGAGAGAGTTAGAGATTAAAAAAACAATGATTTTCTCAGTTTTAAAATAAAGAACACAATGGTAGGGGGAATTTGGAGCTTATTTAGTTTTGTTTTGAATATTAACATGGAATTGGTTATGATATATTTGGTAAGAATGCAATTTTTATATCCTCTTTAAGAAAAATCAGATTAAAGCAGATAAAGATAAGGAGAGGAGTCCCCAAGCTCTGTCCACTGTTTGTCTGTGGGTGTATGCCTGAGTCAATTGTTCAGTCAAGCCTCTCAGAGGACAGCCATGCTAAACTACTGTCTGCAAACATAACAGAATACCATTAATAGTGTCAGGGATTGATGCTTTACCATTGCAGGAAGGATTGCAGCCCCTAAGGGAATGGAACGCCACAGGAAGATCAACAGAATCAATTAACTTGGACACTTGGGGCTCTCCATACTGAACCACTAACCTAAGAACATACATGGCTGGACCTAGATCTCCCCACACATATATAACAGATGTGCAGCTTAGTCTTTGTGATGGTTTGTATAGGCTTGGTGCAGGTAGTAGCACTATTAGTGGGATTGGCCTTATTAGTGGTGTGTCACTGTGGGCATGGGCTTTAATATCCTTGTCTTAGCTATCTGGAAGCTAGTCTTCTCCTAGTGACCTTCAGATGAAGATGTAGAACTCTCAGTTTCTCCTGCACCATGCCTGCCTGGAGACTGCCATGCTTCTGCCTTGATAATAAATGACTGAACCTCTGAATCTGTCATCCAGTTCCATTTAGATGTTGTCCTTATAAGATATGCCTTGGTTATGGTGTCTGTACACAGCAACAAAACCTTAAGACAATCTTCATGTGAGTCCTGCACAAATGGAGAGGAAGCGATCCCAAAAGCTGTTACCTATATGGGGATATGTTCTCCTAGCTCTGGTGCCTTGTCTGGCATCAATGGAGAAGCACCTAGCCTGTCAGAGACTTGATATCCCAGGGTGGGAGGTTGGGAGGTCAGGTCCCTTAGGAAGTAATTTACTCCTGTTATATAGCTAAATTAATGTCATGATGTCAAACTTATTCCCAAACATTAAAGTTTATGCCCTAAAGAAATACATTAATCAGTGTTTCTAAAATACCTCTCTAATTTCAGGGAATGTTGTAGAAGAAAGGATAGGAAAAATGTAAGGACTAGAAGACAAAGAGTGGTAAAATATTATTATCTGGATACAACCTAGTCATTGTAATTAAATTTGCCTATTCTATATCAATATAAGACTTCACCAGCCAACAGCTGATGTCCAATAGATACAGGAGAGATTCAGGTGGCCCTTTCCTCTAACCCCTCTTGAACTATTGACTATTTAAAGATTCTTGAAATGGAGGAGTTATTATAGGCAGATGTGTACCCATTGATGAGTTCACCAAGCTCTCCTGAATAGTTTCATACTTAATATCATGCAAATGACCCTGATTGAACTCTACTGAGCCACAATTTAATAAGTGATGGTGGCACACTGCAATGTACAATAAGATTCAATATAATAAAAGCCTGCTGCTATGCAGGCCCAGCATCGTCCCAGAGTGTGTGAGTGGCAGAAACTTTAATAAGCCACAAAACAAGGAAAAACAAACCAAACCAAGCAAGCAAGCAAGCAAACAAACAAACAGACAAAAAAAAAAAAAAAAACATGAACATGGGAAAGAGACCTACAATAAGAGGGGGAATTGCCAAGGGTGGGATGGCAACAAGATAAGGTTGAGGAGACTAACAAGAATGCATTATACACAGGCATCATAAAAGATATTTAGTGAATAAAAGAGACATGAAGAAATGACTAGCAATAAAAAGAAAATAAAGATTTAAGCTGAGTGCTGGAGGGGCAAGCTTTTTTGAGATACTCAAACTTACTCATTAATATAAAAGTCAAATGTAAAAAAAAATGTTGAAAGTTAAAGCTTAAAGCTAAGGAAAAAAATCCTTTTTTTTTTTTTCAGTCACCAACTCCCTTATGAATGCCCTGGAAACCCAATTGCCAGAAAATCAAGTAGGAGCCTTCAATCTCCCAGTTTTTCTAATTCCAATCATCCATCATCACCCTCATCACTATAGCAGACCACTTGATGTGGCTTTCCGTTCTTCCCTTCCCCGGTAGCTCATGCATATCTTCTCCTATAGCCTACCTCTGCCACTCCATCCTTTAATCTCAACTGGACATGATGACAGGAAATCAGGTAGTCAATGTCTGGTCTCCCTCTTATTTTCCAATTACAATGTTCCAGCCTTACTCAATGCTCTGTAGCAGACCACTTGTTACAGAAAGAGGGTCTATGAAGATCTTAGCAACATGTCCAGATTTTCTCCCTCCTTTGATACTTTCACCTTTTATCCTTCACCCCATTTCCACTCCTAAGTGTCAGGTCCCAATAACTAAAAAACACTTTCTACCTAGGACCCCCAGTGACCATACATGGGAGGATCTCAGAAATATTCCCAATACCCAACTCACAGCTACCACACTCTTCTAAAAACCAGAGAGGCAGCAGAAAGCAAGGAATGGAACACAGATGCACTCAACAAAGACAAACCATATATCAGCATCTAGAATTATGATCATCCTAATCCCATGCCTACGTATCAGCATATAAACATAATCAGTAAGATTCAAGATAATATGTTTCCACTAGAGTCCAGCGATCCTACTATATAGGGTATTAAAATGTAATACAGTTGAAGCACAAGACAACAACTTCAAAATAGCTACTACGAATATATTCACGCTCTTTAGAGAGGAAATGAAGAAATCCATTAATGAAATCTATGAATCAAACAATGGAAAGAAATGAAGAAAATAGTTCAAACCATAAAACATGGAAACACCTAAACTGAGGAAAAAATGGAAGTGAAAATTTAGGAACTTAAACAAGAGCCTTAGAGGAAAGACTCATCAGCAGAATATACAAGATAGAAGACAGTTTTAGGCATTGAAGAGAAGATAGAAGAGAGGGAAACTTTGGTCACAGAAAATGTGGGATCTAATAACATTCAGGAAAGAATCCAAGAGAGTTTGAATATTATAATAAAAAATAAATTTCATGAATTATAGAAATTCTATGAATTGTAGAAGAAGAGGGGGCATAAACCTAGGCCAAGGGCACAGAAAATAATTTCAACAAAATCATGGCAGAAAATTCCTTTGACCTAAAAATAGAGAGTATATCAGGTACAAGGAGCATACAGAACATCAAATAGACTGGACCAGAAAAGAAATTCCCCACACCACGTAATAATCAAACAACAAATGTATAGAGTAAAGACACAAATAAAAAGGGAAGAAGTTAAAGTACTTTATGGTATAGTATGATAGTATAAATAAGTGACACTAAAAATTCAACTAAGAAATCCCTGCATCTGGTAAGCACATTCTGCAAAGCAGCGGGATAAGCCATTAACTAACAAAAATTATCAGCCCCTGTATATGCAAATAGCACATGGAATGAGAAAGAAATAAGGATATTTTCCTTAGTAGCCTCAAATCAAAAATATCTTGTCATAACTATAGACAAGGAGATTAAACACTTGTATGATAAAAGCTTTAATACATAGGAGAAAGACACAGAAAAATATATCAGAAGATGGAAAGAACTCCTGTGCTCATGGGTTAGTAGTATTAACATAGTAAAAAATGGTTACTTTACTTAAAGCTTTCCACAGATTCAGTGAAATACCCAACAAAATTCCAAACCACTTCTTCACAGATCTTGAAAGGGCAATTTTCATCTACATATGGCAAAACAAAAATCGAGGATAGCTCTAAAATTCTTGGATTGTCAAAGAACTGCTGGAGATATCCTCACTCTACAGCTCAAATTATAATATGGAGCTATAATAACAAAACCAGCATAGTATTAGAAAATAAACCAGACAGAATTATTATTGCAATCAATTTGAGGAGCCAGATATAATTAATTCATACACTTATGGACACCTGTTTTTTTATTTTGTTTTTGATGGTTTCTTTCTTTCTTTCTTTTTTTGATAAAGAAGCCAAAAATACGCACTGACAAAAAACATCTTTAACAACAGTACTGTTCAAACTGAATGGCTGCATGTAGACAAATGCAAATAAATCCATTTTTGTCACCGACTACAAAACTTTTTCTTTCTTTTTGTTATTTTTTTTACTTATTTACATTTTAGATGACATCCCCTTTCCCCATTTCCCCTCCCTAGAAATTCCCTATCCCACCCCCCTCCTCCTTTTTGCTTTTATACCATTTTAATTACCTGTGAGAGTATTAAGGTCAGTTCTAGGTTAAGGAACTAGCAATACAATAGATACAAATAGTCTTGTTAGCAAAACAATCAATACAAATAGTCAAAGAACAAGCAAGGCAATAAAGTTTCATGAACACTCCCATGATCACTGTTTCTAAGGGCTTATCAGGATGACCAAAATATCTGAGCCTACTTCCCTGTCCTAGCCCAAAGTCATGTTTATGCCTGAAGCTTACTTCCTTGTTCTAACATAATATTTAGATTCCTGCCTGAAATTACTTCAAATAATAAATTGGACCTTATCAAAATGAAAATGGTTTGCACAACAAAGAACATTAACATTTAGAAAAATATTTTACCTGTATATATTTAGTAGAGGGTTAATATCTAAAATATATAAAAATTCAAAAATCTATAATCAAGAAAATAAAGACTAATTAAAAATCTATAAATCTAAATTCTTAGATGATTATGAAACGTTCAACGTATCTTGAAGAAACGTTCAACATACTTCACCACAAGTGAAATGCATCAAAGTTATATTTATAGTTCATCTTACATCCATCAATTACACTTGCCAAGATGAGAAATGGTAGGTTATGCTGGAGATAATGTGAAGTAAAATGCACAATCCATTGGTGGTTTAACTGCAAACTTGTTCAGTCACTAAAGAAACAGGTGTGGTAGTTTCTTAGGAAGCCCAGAACAGGTCAATCTCAAGATCTAGCTATGCATCTCTTGAGCATACACCCAAAGGATGCTCTATCCCAATACTGAGATACTTGTACAATCATGTTAATTGATCTCCTATTTATAATATTCAAAATTGGAAATAGCCTAGATGATTTCCAATGGATGAATGGATAAAGAAATTATTGTATAATATGATGGAATATTATATTATTATATATACTATATTATATATTATATTATTTTATATTATATTATTTTATATTATAATATTATATTATTATTATATTATTGCCCAGCCATATAACAATATAAAATCATCAAATTCACAGATAAATGGATGAAGTGAGGAAAAAAATTATTCTAAGTGATTTATCCTGGATGCAAAAAGACAAGTATGGTATGTATTAAGGACTATGTTGATGTTAGCTTTTAAGTCTTCAGTAAGAAAGCTACAATCTGTATAACCACAAAGATTAGGTATAAAATAAGAATTTAGAGACTAAGATAGATCTCTCTAAAAATGAAAAATAATATAGGTAGCTATGGATGGACAAACAATGTAGTGGGAGAACCAAAAGTGGAAGTGGAGTGAAGAGGGCCAAGAGAGAACATAGAGGGAGAGACAGCACGGGTCATATGGAAACCTAATATAGTAGGAGATTGCTAAAATTACACACACACACATACACACACACACACACTCTCATTCCAGAACATATTCATTTTTATAAAGTGCAATTTATTATTTGTTGTTCTTTGTCCCTATGCTAATGGCATGTTCATATATATATATATATACATATATATATGAAGCAATCTAAATGAGATCACAATGTAATGCAGGAGACAAAGGTGGAAATGGACATCTATCATCACTAATGTAGCTTGTGGTACCAAGAATGAGTCTATTCAGGGTAGAACACAAGTAAATGTGAGATTTTATCATTGGACAGTCATCTATTGCTAGAATAATCTACATTTTTTATGACATTTGCTTTCTAAGTTCTTTCTTTTAAATGTCTAAAAATCTATATTTATTTGTGCTTTGTATAAAATGTCCTTACAAAGTCCAATTCTCACTCTCCTATCATGTTTCATCTTCCCTTATTTTCCCCTACTGTATTCTTAACTCAGATAGAGTCTAATATGTATCTGCAGCCTGTACAATTCCTTACTGTAAAAATGCTATGCATGTCCTGTGCATTTAATATGAATATTGGATCCTTAAGGCAAATATTTTATCTCTCTCATTGTACTTTCTTCCTAGAAGCTGAAACAAACTCAAAGAAAGAGTACTTGCTGATTAGACATTATTAATTGTTTCTCTAAGCTGGGTACTCTTGCTACTGTCTTCACTTCATTACTACATCCAAACTTTAGAAGCAATGGTTTAAATACTCTCTCATTTGTAGCATAATTTGATATTCCTGGGATGATTGACCTTTCTAAGACTCAAGAGAAAGTGAAAGATTCATACCTGAACTCAGTGCTACCATCTGGAGGAAGTACAAGACAACACAGAGTGCAGATAGAAGTACTCCTGTAGTTCCCATTACACCTGTGATAAGACACAAGTTAATGATCAATGAAAACACAAGTAAAAGTTACAGAAATCAAATTCCTCCATACTTTTCTACTGGCTTCCAAGTAGAGTTATTGCTAGGCCACAATTTCAGACAGTGAATAACTGCACAACACACATTTATCCAATGGTATATAGCATCCTTAAATTTGTATTTACTAAATCTGATGGTCCTAGTCTTCCCAACTAGACAAGGCCTGAGGCCATGAGCAGCGGCAGGAACACACAGCTGCTTAGCTCAGGCTGCTGGCTCAAGTGGCCAGAGACAACAGCCCTACCACCCATGAGATGCCAGCATAGGAGATGGCTCTGCCAATCTTCCACAATGTCTCCACAAGGCTGGGCTGAGACCAGACTGTCCCACCATCCACGTGGTACCTGGCAGAAATGAGACTCTAATGTTTAAAGATAATCCAATAGCTTTATATATCATGTAATGCTCAAATAACAAAATGTCCACACAATTGGAGGTGTTTCCAATTAACTAACGTAGATATGTTGTTACCCAGGACTCCTCTCGACATATGCGTGGCCATCCATTCCCCTACATCTCTTCTAGCTCCTCCTCTTTCTTCTTCTCTTCCTGACCTTACTCCTCCTCTTCCTCTCCTTACTTCTCTCACATTAGCTCTTCCCAACTTGTGGAGAAAATTTCCTGCTACATCCATATAATGACTAGATTATTCCAGATATTTATTCCCCATTAAAGGATCTCATTCTCCCAGGCATGAAGTCTTCTGGGCTTGCCAACTTTATTAGGTCACCTCACTCTAAAAGGTTATGGAACTGCCAGAAAGATCCAAGTCTCAAGGACCCTGTTGTGTAAGTGTCTATCACATTTAACTACATTTAATTACATGAAAGAATATGAAACAGATTTACCATTACAATTATTAGAGTAATCATGTAGCCTTTTACAAGGGTACATTACTTTTTTTTTCTTGGACTCACTGTTCTGACTTTTATTCTTATGCAGAACTTATAAGTAGAGACATGTTTGTGGTGCCAAATATTTAATAACTATTTAAGATAAAAAATTGTCATAGTCAAATGTGAAGGCCTTTTATTCATTACTGAGTATTTTGGCCTTTTATTCAATAGTCAAATGTGATAGCTTTTTAATTCTGTCACACACAGTAGGCTATATACTAGGGTTATAGATAAATGCTAAATTGAATGGAAAGTTAAAATAAATCTGATCTATACCTTCATCTATATGCTTTACAAAATATAAAAATTTTATGGTATATTGTGTAAATAAAGTTTTTATCTACATATTTATGTTTTACAAACTTTTTAAAAATTATTTCATTTATATGTGTGTTTTACATATATATGTGTATGGTAATAGTTCTAAAACTTCCTAATAGTGTAACACATTAATGAATTTCCTAATATTGACTTGACCCTTAAACAAATTATTTTTGCTTGAACTTCATAACTGAAATTTTACTACTGTTATACATTATAATATAAATATCTGTGTTTTCCAATTGTTTTATGTACCCTTTGTAAAAATATTGGACAACTTCTAAAGGAGTCATGATCCACAGGTTGAGAATCTCTGATGTACATATATGAGTTTCATTCCTGGTGCCTCTGGAGGTCAGGTGAGATTGTGATATCTGGAACTTAATTTAAAGATGGTTGTGAACTACCATATTGGTGTCTGAACTGAACCTGGATCCTGCGCAAGAGCAACACATACTCTTAACTACTAACCACACCTCTTTCTTTTACATTTTATTAGAATATATAAATTATACATAATGGATGCCATCATGACATTTTAATGAATGAATATATTTTATATTCATCTCCATTGCTATGGTAAATGTGTATTTATGAGAAAATGACTCATTGTGACTACATCACTATAAAACATCTCTCCCCCTACTGAGCAGTTATTAGCTTCATATAAAACCAGGTCTTGTGATTTTTTTGACTTCCACAATGGCAAATGGTAGAATTAATCCTGTGCAGGTCTTGTGCAGATAATCACAGTTGCTATGAGTTCAAATGTTTTCAAGGAGAATTTAATATTCTACTCAGAAAGTCTAATTTTCATTTTCTTTAACACTCTATTAATTGAAGCATGATAACTGTGCATTTGATGTGCTACACTGTGATATTTCAATATGTAACCTTTTCAAGTTAGAACCTATTGCTAGTATATTCCAGTGTTAAGAAATACAGTAAATAATTTTAAGTTAGATTTGCTCCATTCAAACTATTTCACCTAGATAATTATATTATGGTATATTTGCAAAAGATTTAATAACTCCTTTCTCCATCTCTTTCCCTTTTCTAAAGTCTAGTAATGATGATACTGATCTCTATTATGAAACCAATTTTTAAATTTTTTAAAACTTGAAATAGAATTATATTATTTTCCCTCATCGATTCCTCCCTCTAGCTTCCCTCACATTACCCCAATCTCAAGACTTGTGTCTAAGTCCTTGAAACTTGTTTTTAAGGGCACAGTATTCCTCCCAGGAGGTACAAAGAAGAAAAAAAAAGTAGAAGAAATAAAATTTATCTATGAAAGTAGAACCATATCCTTTTATTTCATTTTATTTTATTTATTGGATGTTTGTTTTATTTACATTTCATATGTTATCCCCTTACCGCATCCCCGCCACCCAGGGACCCCCTATCCCCTCACCCCTCCTTCTGCTTCTCTGCAGATGTACTCCTACCTAACCCCCCACTTCCACATCCCCACCCTCAAATTCCCACCCACTGGGGCATCCAGCCTTCATGAGACCAAGGATCTCTTCTCCCATCTATGCCCGACAGGTTCCTCCCCCCTTACCTATACAGATGAAGCCATGGATCCCTCCCTAAGTGCTCCCAGGCTGGTGGTTTAAACCCTGGGAGCATTGGTTGGTTGGTATTGCTGCTCTCCTCATGGAACCATGTCGTAAAACTAAATCCCCTTACTTACCTAAGCCAGATGATCCCACGTCAGCTCTCTGTTCTCCCTATGAAAGCATCAGTTGAGTCATATGAATTTATGATAACACTTGAGCAGTTCTCCTGAAACCAAAAGCACGTCAGAATTAGACAGAGATCAGGGAAATTAACTATCAACACCCCCACTCCTACCCTGAAAGTCTGGCCACATGATTCTGCAAGCCTGATAGGTCTCTTTTCCTGGGAAGTTCCTACAGGGTTGGTCATATCAACCCATAAATGAAATCTTTGTTTAACTCAGTGATTGCATCTAGTGTTACTCAATCACTAGCAAAACTTTCGACCCCAGGAGAAGAAGCAAAATGAAATCTGACCCATATCTATCATACACTGAGTGCTGAATAAAAAGTTATCATAAATTCTGAATGCAAGACATGTCCATAGAAAAGAGAATTTTAGAAATACAAGTAAACATCCTTATGTTCAAATGAAGCATTCAAGGAAGCTTCGTATAGTAAATAAATGAGAATAACCTCAGAGCAGAACAACCAGTAAGACCAGTTAAGCAAAAGATCACAGTAGTTTCCCAGAGTGACAGAGCAATGATATCTTGAAGGCACAAAAGAAAGTAGTAAATTCAATAGTCCCAGTAGTTTTCAGTAGCTTGACAGGAAGTAAGGTTGGGGAGAAAGAACAAGGTGAGAGCTTCAGGAAGAAATAAGAGAAGTTGTGAAACTTTAGGAAACCTATATGATACATAAATTTTATGTGTATATTCACTCATACTTTAAAATATAGATGCATACATTAATGTTTAACATAGATGACATACTTATATATGTATAGACTACCTATTAACATGAAAGCATATAGGAATTAGTACATACATGTTTATAAAGTATTGCAAATACTTATACATGCATGTGCACATATAGGTAAAAGTTTAGTTCAGTGGTTATGCAATTATATCTGTACAAGTATGTTATATATCTATGTGCTCACATACCATGTGTATGTAAGAGGTGAAGTATGTACATATGTAAAGGTTTATAGATATATTTATTAGTTTTTTGATATATTCATACAAAGTAGTTTGATCACATTCATCCCCAATTCTTCCTAGATCCTTTTTCCTTTACTACCTAATCAGCTTTGTGTTCCATATATAAAAATTAATAATAATAAGAAAACAGTAAAAACTGCAACATTTCATCTTGATGGAAACAAACACAGGAACTCAAGAAGTGGGGGATCCTGGAGGCAGGAACTAAAACAGAAGCCTTAGAGGGAAGACTGCTTCCTGGCTTGATTCTTATGAATTGTTTAGCCTGAATTCTTATCACATGCTCCAGGCTTTCACAATCCAGAGTGTTCTCAAGTCTCACATCAATAATTAACAAAGACTGTAGCACACAGTCTTGTTTAGATATATTGGTCAATTTTATGGAGGCATTTTCCCAATTAAGATTCTTTTTCTCTGATATGTCTTGGTTCATGTCAAGTTTGCAAAATCTAACCAGCACACCAATCAAGACTAAATTGTGCTATCAAGTGGTTTTGGAAGTACATTCTTCCATGTTGAGTATTGTTGCCTTACCAAGGACTGTACTCTTAAAGACTCCCTCTCTTTCTCTTAGCAGTATAAGTTGTCAATGACTCCTCAAATATAGGGGAAATTTCATACAAAACTTCCTTTTCCTTGCTGGGATTTGTTCTGGCTTGAGCTTGCATAGGTCTTTCATATACTGTTATGAGCACTGTGAGATCAATGTGCAACTGCCCTGCTCTGTCCAGAAGACACTGTTTCCTTGTGTTATCATCTCTGGCTCTTACACTCCCCACTTTTTCCTTCAATGATCTATAAGCTTTGAGAGGAGGCAGATTGGTAGAGCTGTCTCATTTAAGGCTGAGTATTTCTCAGTCTCTTAATCTCTGTAGCTTTGTCAATTTATCAGAAAATAGGAGTGGGTTCTCTTCTAGCCAGTGTGGTACCATACATCTATTCCAAAAAAACCGAAAAAACTAATGTAAATGAATGGATTTATTGATATATAACACCAAAATAAGTAAAGC